GGGGGGCGGGACAGCGGATCCCGGGGCTGGGGTGCCCGGGCTGACGCCTCTGCTCAGTTCCAGCTGGCCGTGCCCGTCGCCGTGGTCTTCGCCCCGGGGTCGGTGCCTGGGGACCTGCCGAGGCCGCTGCCGTTCAGGGACGTGCAGGAGATGGAGATTTCTGTGAACCGTGAGAGACCCCTCCGGCTGTCCCCAATCCCTCTGTCCCTCCCGGTTGGCCTCGTCCTTCCCCCGGGGTGTCCCCGTGTGCCGTGCCCACAGCTTCCGTCCCCGGGAGGCTGGCACCGGCTATCAGCCTGGAGCTGCCCGAATCCGTGTCTGCCAACACCGTCCCATCCTGAGCCGGCAGTACGGGGGAGCAGCAAGGTCCCAAGGATCAGGGCTGATGGCAGCCCTCGGGAGGGCCCAAAGTACCTTGTGGCGTGTGTCCCCGTGGGGCTGTCCTGTGTCCCTCTTGGCACCCGGCTCCGATGAAGGGCCGGGGTGAGCGATTTCACTCAGGCTTTCTCCCCTGGCAGTGAGAACCACCGTCACGTCCCGCTATGAGACGGTCTATCGCAGCACCACGGCTCAGGAGGAGGCAGCGCTGGAGGCGGCTACTGCAGGAGGTACCAAGACGAGGGATCGCGGTAGTTGCGGGAGCTCCGTTGGGGAGGAAGCTCTTCTTTCTGAGGCTGGTTGAGCAGAGGATCGGCTTTGCTGTGTCTCAGGGTGGGACAGGGGTTGGAGCGAAATTCCCAACCCTGCTTATGCCTTCGTCTTCCCCAGAGGCAGACGCTGCTCTGCACCTGCTGCAGGATGCCTCGTTGGGCTCTCTGACCTTGTATGTGGTCCCCGAAAACTCATCTCTCCTGCCTCAGGTAGGGAGCAGCACCCTACGGTGCCAGCCTCCGCGGACTTCACCCCTCGAAGATGCCCTGGGGGGGAGGCAACTGTCCCCAGGGCTGTCGCAGGTGGCACCGTGCTCTTCTTGGGTGTGTTGGTGGGAGCCAGCCCTGCTCCCGGCCCTCACCCCTGCCCCTTCCCCAGGGCATCAGCGTCTACGTGGGGAAGCACCGCAGCGCCCTGGTGAGGGCTGAGGGGAACCTGGCCGCCCTCCGCATCCGCCTCCAGCAGCTCACGCAGGTGATGTCTTTCACGGCCAGCTCCATCACTGCTGCCCTCTCGGACCGTGTGCCTGATGGCCAGCTCGGCCCTGATGCCCGGCGGCACTTGAAATCCAGCCTGGGTACGGACGTGTGCCCCGGCCCCGTTCCCTGACCTGGGAAAGGTCTGCTGGCTGTGGGGGAAGTGCTGTTCCTGCTGTACCTGTAGCATCCCTGGATGTCTTCTGGGGTAACAGACCCTGGGGTCTTCCCTTTGCCCTTGGTTGTTGCTTTGGGCTGGGATCCATGCTGTGATTGCTGTGTGTTGGGGCACTGGTACATGAGCCCGCGTTGGGAAAGGCCAGGGAGGAGGGGGTTGTGTCCTGCTGCTCCTGGGAGCTCTGTCGTGGCCACATGCCCGGCCTCGGCGCCAACAAGCAGTGGCTGTGCCAGTGCCTCACAGGCTCTGTGGGTCCTCGGCAGGGTACGAGATCACCTTCAGC